TAAGGATCTGATGTTCATCCAGGCATCTTTGGAAAAAGCTCGTTAATGGTTCAGCTATTCTCGCAGCTGCCATCAGCAGCGCTTTCGGGGGAATTTTGTCAAGTCACAGGGGAACTATGGGTGCGCAACGATAGCAGCTTCCATAAAATGGTTGCTGAACTAAAGATGGGAGAATGGGACAGGTATGTTACAAATGCTGGTAGCATGTCTGAAAATTGGGAGATATTTTAACCGTAGGACGTTGGCTGCATCATCGGTGGTTTGAGCACATCCACCCGCTGATATTAATGGGGGAACGCCACGTTTCACATTCTGGAGACTGTTCACATGTGTGTATAGAAGCTTTTTGTTAACACAAAAATTTTCCGCTAGGCTGTGCTGGTGTACTAATTTGTCCTTGCGCACAAGTGTGGTACAGTGATTAAGATGCACAGTATAGTTACTCCAGCTTTCAGGGCTAGGGTTCGCTCTATCCACATGCCACGCAGCGTCTCTCACTGACAAGTGCTTTCGGATTCTGCTCCGACTGAATGGTTGTGCCCTTGCAGAACGAAGGGGCTTGTTGGCCGATGCAGATTTAATCAGATCACTGAACTTGTCATTAAAATCCAACAAAGCAGTGTCAATGGAACCGTTGTTCGGAAACTCCCAGCTGCAATCTCTCACAAGTTCTGTCAGTACATCGTAGTGAGTGATTGTTCGAAACAGGTTAGTATGTGCTTGTGGATACTCCGCATAGCACACCAAGTAGTAAATTATGCGTACGTGGTCGCTCCGCCCCAGAGGGCTCTCCAGCCTTGTTTTCTCAACACGTGCTCTTCTTTTGTGAACACTACATCAAGCACAGATGGCTTATTTCTGGCTCTGAATCGGGTGGGTAAACTGACATGGCTGAAGAGCGGAATGCTAGCAATATACTCTTGCAGGTCGACCTTAAACTGCTCGTTGGGGGATGCCGGAACTTCCAAATCATGAATATTGAGGTCACCTGGGATGAGAACATGACTGCATCGTCGTCGTAGGACCCTTCCCAAGGGTAATACCAGGCGAAGCTCCATTTCTGGGGTGGACATTGGGGGACGATAAACAACGGCCAAAAAACTAGTGTCGTTGCGTCTCCGTCGCAGACTGCACCAGAGTAACTCTATAATCAACGTTTCCGGATAGGTCACCGGTTCGCCTTTACTTGGCCGATCGTTTCGGAGAAGGGAGGTACCATTTGTCGCAAATTCGGCGTCGGTAACTTTTGAGTGCAACC